CTTCCTTCCTTCCTTCCTTCCTTCCTTCCTTCCTTCCATCTCTCCTTCCTTTCTTCCTTCCCTCCTTCCTTTTCTCTTTCTTTCTTTCGTCCTTCCTTCCTTCCTTCCTTCCTTCCTTCCTTCCTTCCTTCCTTCCTATCTTCCTTCCTCCCTTTCTTCCTTTTTTCCATCTTTCTCTCTCTCTTTCCTTCCTTCCTTCCTTCCTTTCTTTCTTCCTTCTTTCTCTCTCTCTCCTTCCTTCGTCCCTCCCTCCTTCCTTCTCTCTCTCTCTCTCTTTCTTTCTTTTACTTTTTCTTTCTTTTCTCACAGATGCCAAGAACTCACAATGGAGAAAGGACAGTCTCTTCAATATATGGTGCTGGTAAAACTGAATATTCACACACAAAAGAGTGAAAGTAAATTCCTATCTCTGAATTGACACAAAAAGATCAAAATGTGTTACAGATTTAAACATAAAACCTTAAGCCATGAAATTACTAGATGAAAAACACAAGGGAAACACTACATGACATAGGTCTGAACAAGGATTTTTTTAGACAGGACCTCAAAAGCACTTGCAGCAAAAGCAAAAAAAACAAACAAAAACAAAAAACCCGCAGCAATAACAACAAACACTACAACAAACTAAAGAGACTTTGCTTGCAAATGGACAAGACACTTGAACAGGTGAACAGACTTTCTTAAAAGGACACATACTAATAGCCAACAGTTACATTGTAGAAAGGACGAAATCCTGTCAGTGGCAACAACATATATGAACTGGAGGCATTTATCTTAAGTGAGACAAGTCAGACACAGAAAGATAAACACTGCATGTAGTTACTTATAAATGGCATATAAATGCTGTGCACACAGGGATGTAGAGTGTGGAATAATAGACAATAACGGTTTGAATGGGTGAGGAGGTGAGCAGGGGGTGGATAATGAGAGAATACTTGGTATATACAATATACAGCACTGCATTTGCTCTATCCTAGTGGTTTTGATAATTTGTATTACTATTATTCATTTTGAATGGTAATAGTAATTTTGAAAATTTTCATCTTGAGTTTATCGTTAATCCCCAAATCATTCAGGATCAGGTTGTTTAATTTCCTTATATTTCTGTTGTTTTGAGAGTTCCTTTTGGAGTTGATGTTTAGTTTTACTCCACTGTGTAAATTTTTAGTACTCCACTGGGTTCCTTTTGGAGTTGGTTTTTAGTTTTACTCTACTTTTCAGAGAAGCTACTTTATATAATTTTGATTTTTAAAAAATTTATTGAGACTTATTTTGTGGCCTATCATATTATCTGTCTTAGAGAATGTTCTATGTGTTGATGAGAAGAATGTAGTTCTTGGGTAGACTATTTTGTAAATATCTGTTAGGTCCATTTGTTCTAGAGTACAGTTTAAGTCCTATGTTTCTTTGTTGACTTTCTGCCTTGATAATCTGTCTAGTGCTGTCAGTGGAGTGTTGAAGTCACCCACTATTATTGTGTTGCTGTCTATCTTTTTTTCATAGGTCAAATAGTCATTGTCTTATGAATGTGGTAGCACCAAAGTTAGGTGCATATATATTTAGGACTGTAATACCTTCTTGTTGAATTGAACCTTTTATCATTATATAATGACATCTGTGTTAGTTGGTTCTCACACTGCTGACAAAGACATACCTGAGACCTGGTAATTTATAAAGGAAAGAGGTTTAATGGATTCACAGCTCCACATGGCTCAGGAGACCTCACAATAATGGCAGAAGATTAAGGAAAAGCAAAGAGACATCTTACAAGGCAGGAGGCATAGAAAGCTTATGCAGGGAACTCTCATTTATGAAACCATCAGATCTCATGAGACTTATTTACTACAATGCGAACAGTATGGGGAAACTGCCCCCAAGATTCAATTATCTCCATGTGACCCTACCCTTGACAGATGGGGATCATTACAATATTTGGGTGGTGACACAGTCAAACCATATCAACATCCTTTTGTCTTTTAAAATTGTTTTGGCTTAAAAGTCTATTTTATCTGATGTAAGAATAGCACCTCCTGCTTGCCTTTAGTTTCTATTTGTCTGGAATGTCTTTTCCACCCCTTTGGCTTGAGTCTGTAAGAATCTTTACTTGTTATGTGAGTCTCTAGAAGACAGCAGATATTTATAATTTGTAATTTTTTTTATTGATTCTGCCAATCTGTGTCTTCTAAGTGGTGTATTTAGACCATTTACATTAAACATTAATATTGAGATGTGAGATATAGTTCCAGTTATGATGATTGTCACTTAGATACTTTATATTCTTTATTGTGTTATTGTTTCATAGGTACTATAGATTTTATGTTTTCAAGAGGTCCTATTCTAGTGTATATTGACATTTTGTTTTAAGATGTACAACTCCTTTTAGCATTTCTTGTAAGGCTGATCTAGTAGTGACAAATTCCCTCAGCATTTGCTTCTCTGAAAAAGACTTTATGTATCCTTCATTTATAAAACTTAGTTTTGCTGGATACAAAATTCTTGGCAGTCTTTCTTTTTAAAGAGACAAAAGGTGAATGTCAACGCTTCTTGTTTGTAAGGTTTCTGCTGAGAAAGTTAAAATTTTTAGTCATTAAATATCAATTTTAGTAATTATATAATTTTGATTGTTTTAGTGCCCCATTTTCTCATTCCACATTATTTCAGTTTGAGCAACAAGTTGTATGGTAGTACAATAGTATGGTTACAACAAAACCCACCAATAACAGAAAGTTTAAAAGACCAAACTCACATATTTTAGAATGTTAAAAAAATGAGAGCCCCCTTTCTTACAAAATTGCACATATACATGTATACACAAGAAGGGGATATATAGATAGATGGATAAATAAATATATATGTCGATAGATGATAGACTGATAGATCAATAGGTAGATAGATAGAGAAAACAACAATGGATATATGACATGAAGCATACTTTACTTTCCCATGGAAATATTAACCAACCTATTTAAACAGAGGCTCTATCCATTAAGTTTGGCTTATTTGTTTGCTTGTTTACTTATTTTGACTCAGGCTATTCTATTGCAGATTCAACACCCTCTTTACTCTTGTATTTGGTGACCAATAAATATGTTTAGATCAAAGAGGAAATTTTAGTTTCTCTGAAGCTTCTATATGTGAAATGGCACTTCAGTTTGTTAGAAATATAACTCATGTAAAATTATCAATAAAGTGTTAAATGAGGATGCAATAATTGATGATTTATAGGTGATAATCATGGATACACAGGAAAGAACAGAATGTAAAATATCATAAATAATTCAATAGTTCCAGGGCATAAGTTTTGTGAGCCATTTTATATAATGCAGTAATCACTGATTGTGCTCATACCCCATAGATCATCAATTATTATTAATAGACAAAGTACAATATTTATCTAAATTTCAGTGTAGACTATGATTTCTAAAATATTTCCTATATCTCTATGATTGGACAATTTTTGGTATTCCACAGTTAGTGTTGCTATAGTCCTTCATAAGACAGTCAAGGAAAAATGTTCAAATGTGAACTGGTAGTATAGATTTGTCAGCAGATGAAGACAACAGAAGGTATATCTTTGCTCTTTTTTTCTCATTCAGCATTAACAGAGACTACATAGACCCCTACATTACTCTAGCAGGCTTACTGGAAATATTTTAAGCTTGGGATATGTTTTGAAGTAAAATTTTCTACATTGGAATTAATTTTTATATTTAAGTCCTCATGAAGATTTTATATGCATTTTTTTGCTGTCTTTACATGTCATCTTTTTCTCTTAAATTAAATACATTTTAACATTTTATAAATCCCTGTTGTTGTTTTCCAGAAAAAAAATCTTTCAAAACTATTACCCCAATATCTGGAAATACACATTATAGTGGAAAAAGCTTTGGTAAGTAAAACTTTCCTACTTGCCTTCCAGTCTTTTCCCTTCCTTCTTCTTACCCGTCCTTCCTCCATTGTCTCCCTATTTTCTCCCTCTCTCTTTTCCTCCCTTCCCCTCTGTCTTCCCTTTTTTTCTCCACCCCTCTTTCATTCATTCCTTTCTTTTGTTCCCCTCCCTCCCCCCCTCGCTTCCTTCCTTCCTTCCTTCCTTATTCCCTTTCCTCACACCCTCCCTTCTTCCCTTCCTCCCTCCCTCCCTTCCATCCTTTTTCTTTCACTCATCTTTCTTTCTGTAAGTTAGTGAAAGTTTTGTTTTAATTTTGAAGACATAAAAATTTTATTTTATTTATTTATTTTTTTAGATGGGGTTTCACCATGATGGCCAGGCTGATCTTGAACTCCTGACCTCAGGTGATCCACCACCTTGGCCTCCCAAAGTGCTAGAATTACAGGCATGAGCCACAGCGCCCGGCCAAAAATTTTCTTAATATTTTAAAATAAAGATATTTTATTTTAGGTGTCTTAGATAAATCGACAATTGTGATGAAGAACAGCCTAAATTAACCTAGAATGCTTTATACTATCTGCTTCCTCCACTACAGCTCAGTCAGTATCTCTTTGACTTTAACCCCTAATGACCCATCCTTTTATCCAACATTTTCAACTAAATCAGTTCTTTGCTTTCACATCATTTCAAAACCTTTATTCCTAACAGAAATTTCACTTCAATAATAGTAGTGTTTATGGTTTTTGTTTATTATTCTTAAAATATGTTTCAGCATAGTTTTTGAATAAATATACCTCTGGTTTTAAATATATATTTATTTTTAAAATTAGTACCATTATATATTTACTAAATGCAAAGCACCGACTAATCACTAGAAATTCTACTTTCAGGAATTCACATTTTGATGGAAAAGACAGATATGCAATCAAATAATTATGATGCACTGCATACATTATATACGAATATATGTAAAACTTTTATATATATATATACACACACACACATGCACAAAATTACAGGATGATATTGAGAAAGATGTAGGAATTGTCTCCTTTTTTTTTGAGACAGAGTCTTTTGCTCTGTTGCCCAGGCTGGGGTGCATGGCATGATCTTGGCTCACTACAACCTCCATCTCCCAGGTTCACATGATTTTCCTGCCTCAGCCTCCCAAGTAGTTGGGATTACAAATGCACACCACCACACTTGGCTAATTTTTTGTATTTTTAGTAGAGATAGTGTTTCGCTATGTTGGCCAGGCTGGTCTTGAACTCCTGACCTAGTAATCCACCTGCCTCAGCCTCCCAAATTGCTAGGATTACAGGTGTGAGCCACAGTGAGCCAGGAATTGTTAAGGAAAGGCTTCATAGAATAGATTTTTAGATGAATGGCTAGCATTTATCAGATAAATACAATACAATCAAATAGATACAAAAGTGTAAATTATAGATTATCTGTTCTACAGCATCTGCGTTATTTTGTTAAATATAATATCTTCAAGATTTACTCCTGTTGTTCCCCATAACCGTAGTTTATTTCTTGTATACTAATGTGAAGAATACCACAATTTGGTGCTATTATGAATAAAATTATTATAATCAATCTTGTTCATGTCTTTTGGTAGACATAATTTCTTTTGGTATCTGTCTATGAGCAGATCATGGGATTGGTATGTTACATTTAGACAATATTGGTAAACAGTTAAAAAGTTATTATAGTAATTTCCTGTGCTTTCAGCAATGTATGAAAGGTCCAGGGGTTCTATATCATTACAAATGATTAGAATTTATAAACTTTAAAAAGTCTCAGCCATTCTAGTGGATATATAGTGATATCATATTGTGGTTTTTAGGTGCATTTAACACATGACTGAGGTTGAGCATATTTTCATACATTATTTACCATTTGGATATTTTTCAGAGTAAACGTATAAGCTTTTCCCCATTTTAATAGTTTTCTTACTATTTTGTGGGAATTCCTTACATATTCCAAATATGAGGCCTTTTTCAGATAGCTGTGTTTTCTACCAGTCTCTCTGTTATATTTATATTCATTTAATGATGTCTTTTGATAAACATACACACTGAACCACAGTTGAGTCCATTTTATGTTTTTTAACATAAATTTCGTTTTGTTTTCAATTTAAGAAATATTTTCTTATTCCAAGGACACAATTTTACTTCCATATTATTGTATGTTTTTTTCTTTACCCTTTAAAATAAGTTTTACAGTATATTTCTAATTGAGAAATGTATATGCTGTGAGCAGGGAGTAAAGATTGTCTTTTTTCCATATAGACATCATTTGCTTCATCTCCACTTGTGAAAAATATCTCTTACTCCATAGCAATTTAAAAAAATTATGTAGCAGAATTGTGTGTGACCTATTTCTTATGTTGTTGTTCACTTCCATTGCCCTATTTTTGTTTTATTGAATTAATAATTCACTAAGTTCATTACTATAGCTTTATTGTTATATAATTTATTTGGCTTTTTCCTTTTACTAATCCTAATTATTGTTTTGACTATTCTGGGTCCCTTTTATTTAAACCCATTTTAGAATCACCCTCTAGATTTTACAAAAATGCTGTAATTTTGATTTTGGAGTTACATTGAATGGTTAGCTCACTTTGGAAAGAATTGTGATGTTAATAATATTGAGTCATTTGATCTCTGAATAAGGAGAGCCTCCTCACACACACACATCTTTACATTTTTTGTTAATTTCTTTCATTAGTGTTCTATAGTGTTCTTGAACATCTTTATTCATTTTATTGTTATGCATTTGATGATTTTGTAATGTTCTAGTAAATGGTATTTTTAATTTAATATATACGTATTTTTGCTCCGGTTTATAAAAACATAGCTGAGATTAATGTATTCATCTTATATCTTGTGATTTTTGCCTAATTTGCTGGTTAATTGTTGTGTTTCATTTTTTGTAGATTTTTTATTATTCTATGTACACAATCATATTATTTGTGAATAATTACATTTTAATTTTTATTTTTCAATTTTTATTCCCTTTTATCTATTTATGTATACATGTATTTATTATCTATTTATTTTACTTTTATTTCATTTTATTCTTTTATTGTCCTAGCTTGACTCTGAAGTACAATGTTAAATAGACTGATGTGTATATTTCTAAATTTTTCCCTAACTTACAGATTAACCATTCTCTCTAATTTTCATGTTAGCTCTTAGTTTTTGGTAGGTGATCTTTATAATATTGAGAAAGTTCCTTTATATTCCCTGTTTTCCAAGATTTTTATCACAGATAGCTGTTTTTCATCAATTTTCTTTTCTGCTCTTACATAGATGATCAGTGGGTATAGAGAGCCATACTTGTGTTTCTAAAATATACCATACTTATTTATTACATTTTTGTCAATTTTTATAAATAACTGGATCTTTTATTTAATATTTTGATTTTGATTTTAGGGTTTATATTCATAAATAATTATATATTATATTCCTTTCTTATAGAAAGGAATCAAGATAATCCTAGCCTCATCAAATAAGTTAGTGAGTTTTCTTCTTCTTATAGTCTGTCCAAGAATTTAGGTATTATGAATATGACCCTTTCCACATATAGCTGGAAAATACTCTGAAACCCTGTAGACCTTAAGTTTTCTTTGAGGAAATATTTTAAAGTACACATTAAATTTATTTGATATACATAGGAAAGTTTAGATTTTCTTTAAACTTGTTTTAGTTTCTACAAGTTAGATTGTTATGATTTGAATGTATCCTTTTCATAATTCAGGTATTGAAACATAATGGCCAATGTTATGGCTTTAAGGCATGAGGCAATTATCAAATTTCTTAGAATGAATTTGTAATACATTCTTTTTAACTTTTAAAAATTGGTTAATTTGTAGCATCACCATTTCAAATGTTCACCAATGATATTGGTGGGATATTCCCCTTTGCTCTTTAGCTGAATTTTATTATTTTAAACTTATTATTTTGAAAGAACTTTAAACTTACATGAAAGTTAAGAAACAGTAAAATGTTCCCATATATTTTTCCATAACTTACCCTAAGTTAACATCTTACATAATCATAATATAGTAATCAAAACATAAAAGCTAATGTATCTACATTATTATCAACTAAAAAAATTTTGACATTTTTCTCATAAATGCCTTTTTCCTAATTTAGTCCACAATTATAAGATCCTACATTCCATTGAGTTGATATGTCTCTTTTCTCTCCACCAATCTTGGCAGTACTATGATATTTGTCTTTCATGTACCTTGGCACTAATGGAGAATACGTGCCAGTTATTTCATAGAAATGTTTCTCAGATCAAAAAGACCCTTTCTTGTTAAGCTGTTGTTAGTGTTGCTTTCATAAAACAAAATGTCTGCCCTTTTCCTATATTCTGAATGATTTTTGTGCAAATGCCTTTACTTGTTCTTTACATATTATTTAAATGTCTGTAACAATTAACTTTTCTTTTTCAGAGAGAGAGCGAGAGAGAGAGAGAGAGAGAGACAGGGCCTCACTGTGTTGTGCAGCCTGGAATGCAGTGACAAAATCATACCTCACTGCAATCTCAAACTCGTGGCCTAAACCAGTCCTCCTGCCTCAGCCTTCTGAGTAGCTGGGACTACAGGCACACACCACAATGCCTGGATAATTCTTTTTTAGTTTTTATAGAGACAAAGTCTCACCATGTTGTCCAAACCTCAGTCTCCCAAAGTGCTGGGGTTATAGGCATGAGCCACTGCACCTGCCCAACAATTAACCCTTATAGTCCTTTCGACCTGATATTTCTTTTATGGGATGGTTTAAAATGACAGAATCCACTTTAATAGTTACATGATTATATAGTCTTTGAACTTTACCTTTGACCATATTGGCAAATGACATTTTAAATAATATTTTCAAATGTATTAAAATGTAGTAAGCTATTTCATACTTTATTATCACCATTTTAGATATCATAATCCTCTTTCATTCCTGATATTGGCAATTCACATCTCTCTTTTTATTTTTTTTTTAAAGTTTTCACATCTCTCTTTTTGTTTTTTTTTTAAAGTATATATATTTAAGATGTCTACATCAGGTTGTTTTTATATACATAGTATTACATTTTTGTGGTAAAAGTACCTAAAATCTACTCTCTTAGCAAATTTCCAGTATATAAAGCAATATTGTTGACTGTAGCTCTCGTGTGTACATTAGGTCTCTAGACTTATTGATTCTACATAACCCAAACTTTGTATCCTATGAATGCCATTTCCACATTTCTCCCAACACGCTGACCTCTGCCTTTTGACAGCCACCTTTTCACTTTGTTTCTATGTATTTGAATATATTTGTTTTGTTTTGTTTAGATACCACATGTAAGTGAGGTCATGTAGTATTTTCTGTTCTGTATCTGGCTTATTTCACTTATCATAATGCCCTCCAGGTTCATCCATTTGTCACAAATGACAGAATAACCATTTTGAAGGCTTAATAATATTTCTCTGTGTGTATAATATATATATGTATATATGTAATATATAATCCATAAATACTTAAGTCCCTTATATAAAATAGCTTAGAATTTGCTCAAGCCTACACACATTCTCCTATGTACTTTAAAACAACTCTAGATTACTTATAATACCTAATACAATGCCTAAACATCATTGCATTCACTTGGATTCAAAATGATACTTTCATGAAAAATAAAATTTATTTTTCAGTATGATTATATGGGATCTGAAATGATGACTGTAACACAAAAAATTGTCCAGGTTATTGGGCTTGTCAACACAGTAAGTTTTTACTTTTTCACATTTCCATTTATATGAAAGTTTATTTAATATAATTTGGATTCTATCTTGGCAAATTAATAACAACTACTTTTATTAGTTTAATACTCAAAATACTGGAACATTTTCTTCATTTTTTAATGTACTTTTTAAATGTAATAACTTGTTACTTTAAAAATGTACCATAAATCTTACTTTTAGATGTTTACCCAGTTGAAATTGACTGTTATACTGTCTTCCTTGGAATTATGGTCAAATGAAAACCAGATTTCCACCAGTGGGGATGCTGATGCTATATTACAAAGATTTTTGGCATGGAAACGGGACTATCTTACCCTACAGCCCCATGACGTAGCATACTTATTTGTGTAAGCACAATGTTCTACATTAATAAAGATATCTGCATATATAATTATTTTAAATTGGTAACTTAGTGAATTTATTGTGTTCTTCAATTTTCCTTAAGCCCCTTTGAAAATGTTTAAAAATAAGTAGCCTTAGCCGGGTGCAGTGGTTCACGCCTGTAATCCCAGCACTGGGAGGCTGAGTCGGGCGGATAACTAGGGGCTGGGAGTTCAAGACCACCATGACCAAAATGAAGTAGTGAAACCCCTTCACTACTAAAAATACAAAAATTAGCCAGACGTGGTGGTGCATGCCTGTAATCCCAGCTACTCAGGAGGCTAAGGCAGGAGAATCCTTGAACCAGGCAGATGGAGATTGTAGTGGGCCAAAATCATGTCATTGCACTCCAGCCTGGGCAATGAGAGCAAAACTCTGTCTCAAAAATAAAATAATAAAATAAAATAAAATAAAAAAGTAGCCTTTGCCGTGGAGGTGCTAGTGTACTTAAATATATAATAAAAAGTACAATAAATAGTTTTGTATTAGAATATTTTGGAGTATAATATTATTTTTAAAATCTGCATTTCATGAACTTCTATGATATTGACTTTACTACAGAAAACATGTAATCCTTAGTTTATGAATGATGTAAAAATGGAGACTATTCAGTTAAAATTATCTATGATAAGTTAATGCGTTTCATGTCTACTTTTACTAGGAGTGATTTGGGTTTTTTTTAATATTTAGTTTTTAAAAATGCTATCTTTAGGACGGTAAGATTACTTCTTCCACAAATTAAAAATTATTTTCTCTTTAACTTTTGGCAACCAAACAAAGCTGGATTTGAGCTAATGAAATTATATCCATTTTAAGAGTTACACAAGCATTGGTATTAAAGTGAATTAATTCAAGTCAATGATTTTAGCATTTTGTGTAGCTTATTAGATATTATCTAGTTTGAAACTTTATATATTTGTAAAGTCATTTCTAAAATTTTATAAAAAGGTTTAATTTAATAAATAAGTCTATGAATTTTTTTTGCATAACTATGTTTATTAAAAGACAATATTATCATAATGTAGTTACAGGAAACATCCTAAATATGTGGGAGCAACATTTCCTGGCACCATATGCAATAAAAGCTATGATGCAGGTATTGTTATGGTATGTAATTTTTATTCTTCTTTACACCACTATTTTTAAGCCTTATATGTTTTGTAAGTATTAATTTAAATAGTTAAATAGTGTATAACCACTTGATCTTTTTCTGTATGCGTATGTGCATTATGATTTCATTGGGATAAAATTATTAGAATCTCAGAAAGTTTATTTATAAAGTTCGAATACAAAGAATATTATGTGAACAAACCTTTTAGTGTAACCACTCACCAACTGTTCATAATGGACACGAACATTTGCTTTAAATTTTTAAATAAATAAAACATTAGAGCAATGTTAAAGCCTCTTGCACATTTGCTCCAAGTTCAATAAATAGCAAAAATTATAAATTTGTTTTTGCAATTTTACATGTAATTTATGCTGTCTTAATAAATATATGTATGCATAAATAATATATATTGTTTTTAGAAATTGAAAATTTGTATATTGATAAAAGTGTTTCCTGCATAATCTACAACCCCTAAATCCTCTTTCTCAATTAAAAAATTTCTTCTTTGTAACCATATAACTCCATGTTAATTTCTTTTTAAAGAGAAGTTTTACTGAAGTACAAAATATAGTATATAAAGAAAATTCCACAAGTCACAATTAACTTTTATCAAGTTTATACATAGGTGTAAATACCACAAAAATCAAGAAATAGAATGCTATCAACACTTCAGAAGGTACTTATGAATCATGCGTCCTCCCACCTACCACCCATACCAAAGGAAATTTAATTTTACTTCTTTTTGAAGTTTACATAAGCAGAAGACAGTGTGTATTCTTGTGTGCTCCATTTTGCTTAATATTATGATACCCCAGAAAACATGTAATCATTAGTTCATGAATGATGTAAAAATGGAGACTATTCAGTTAAAATTATCCATGATAAGTTAATATATTTCATGTCTACTTTTTACTAGGAGTGATTTGGTTTTTTAAAAAATACTTAGTTTTAAAAAATGCTTATCTTTAGGACTGGTAAGATTGCTTCTTTCACAAATTAAAAAATATTTTCTCTTTAACTTTTGGTAACCAAACAAAGCTGGATTTGAGCTAATGAAATTATATCCATTTTAAGAGTTACACAAGGAAATTGCATTGGTATTAAAGTGAATTAAAGTCAAAGATTTTAGTATTTTGTATAGTTATTAGATATTATCTAGTTTAAAACTTTATATATTTGCAAAGTCAGAATGTTATTAACACTTGAGAAGGTACTTATGAATCTACTTATATTTATATTTTTATGGGTAGGAATAGTTTGTTCATTCTTTTACCATTGGTAAAATATATGCCCATGAAGTTTTCTGACTATTGAAATATGAGTATTATCTATTGGTTTCCAATTATTGAAATTAGAATGTAACATCCTAATAGTGCATCATATCTATATTTTGACTCCTTCATTCCTCCTCTATAATTATATACCTTATTTGACTTGTGTCTTATTCGCTAATGAGCCAAGTAATGAAAGACTAAATTGCCTTGTGTGCCCTTTAGTTCTTACTAAATTTAATAATTGCATCATATTGATTTGTGAAACAATTTTTAATAAAATTATACATTGTTTCTAGTTTTCTCCTTGTTTCACAAGTTCCTCTTTCCTTTCCTGGAGACATTCTGCAGAAATTGTCTATTTTGTCAATCTACCTTAGACCTGTTGCCTAGGTAGGGTTTGTGAATTTTCAATCTTGTTTCTTTTGTGTTATGGGTATTCCTCTTTTATATTTTGCTCATTTTTTTAGAAGTGAGCTCCTATACTTTATTGACAAGAAAGGTGGGAAGTAAATTGTGTGATAGAAAAAATTTTAAATTATTTTATTTTTTATTCCAACTTTTTTTAAAATTATATTTTAGGTTTTGGGGTACCTGTGAAGATCATGCAAGCTTGTTGCATAGGTACACACATGGCAGTGTGATTTGCTGTCTTCCTCCCCTTCACCTACATCTGGCATTTCTCCCCATGTTATCTCTCCCCACCTCCCCACCCCCCGTCCCTCCCCCATTTCCCCCCAACAGACCCCAGTATGTAGAGCTCCCCTCCCTGTGTCCATGTGTTCTCATTGTTCAACACCCACCTTTGAGTGAGAACATGTGGTGTTTGATTTTCTGCTCTTGTGTCAGTTTGCTAAGACTGATGGTTTCCAGGTTCATCCATGTCCCTACAAAGGACATGAACTCATCATTTTTGATGGCTGCATAATATTCCATGGTGTGTATGTATCACATTTTCCGTGTCCAGTCTATCATCGATGGGCATTTGGGTTGGTTCCAGGTCTTTGCTATTGTAAACAGTGCCGCAATGAAAATTTGTGTGCACGTGTCCTTATAGTAGAACAATTTATAATCCTTTGGATATATACCCAGTAATGAGATTGCTGGGTCAAATGGAATTTCTATTTCTAGGTCCTTGAGGAATCACCACACTGTCTTCCACAATGGTTGAACTAGTTTACTCTCCCACCAACAGTGTAAAAGTGTTCCTATTTCTCCACATCCTCTCCAGCATCTGTTGTCTCCAGATTTTTTAATGATCGCCATTCTAACTGGCGTGAGATGGTATCTCAATGTAGTTTTGATTTGCATTTCTCTGATGACCAGTGATGATGAGCATTTTTTCATATGTTTGTTGGCCTCATGTATGTCTTTTTTGAAGTGTCTGTTCATATCCTTTGCCCACTTTTGAATGGGCTTGTTTGTTTCTTTGTTGTAGATCTGTTTTAGTTCTTTGTAAATTCTGGATATCAGCCCTTTGTCAGATGGGTAGACAGCAAAAATGTTTTCCCATTCTGTTGGTTGCCGATTCACTCTAATGACTGTATCTTTTGCTGTTTTGGTCATGAAGTCCGTACCTACGGCTAGGTCCTGAATGGTTTTGCCTAGATTTTCTTCTAGGGTTTTTATGGTGTTAAGACTTATGTTTAAGTCTTTAATACATTTGGAGTTAATTTTAGTGTAAGGCGTCAGGAAGGGATCCAGTTTCTGCTTTCTGCACATGGCCAGGCAGTTTTCCCAACACCATTTATTAAACAGGGAATCCTTTCCCCATTGCTTGTTTTTTTTCAGGTTTGTCAAAGATCGGATGGTTGTAGATATGTGGTGTTGCCTCCAAGGCCTCTGTTCTATTCCATTGGTCTATATCTCTGTTTTGGTACCAGTACCATGCTGTTTTGATTACTGTAGACTTGTAGTATAGGTTGAAGTCCAATAGTGTGATGCCTCCCACTTTGTTATTTTTGCTTAGAATTGACTTGGCTATGCAGGCTCTCTTTTGGTTCCGGATGAAGTTTAAGGTGGTTTTTTCCAGTTCTGTGAAGAAGGTCATTGGTAGCTTGATGGGAATAGTGTTAAATCTGTAAATTACTTTGGTCAGTATGGCCATTTTCATGATATTGATTCTTCCTAACCATGAACATGGAATGTTTCTCCATCTCTTTGTGTCCTCTCTTATTTCGTTGAGCAGTGGCTTGTAGTTCTCCTTGAAGAGGTCTTTTACATTCCTTGTTAGTTGTATTCCTAGGTATTTTATTCTCTTTGTGGCAATTGCGAATGGCAGTTCGTTCTTGATTTGGCTCTCTTTAAGTCTGTTATTGGTGTATAGGAATGCTTGTGATTTTTGCACATTGATTTTGTATCCTGAGACTTCGCTGAAGTTGCTTATCAGTTTCAGGAGATTTGGGGCTGAGATGATGGGGTCTTCTCGATATACAATCATGTCGCCTGCAAATAGAGACAATTTGACTTCCTCCTTTCCTATTTGAATACACTTTATTTCTTTTTCTTGCCTGATAGTACTTCCAGTACTATATTGAATAGGAGTGGTGAGAGGGGGCATCCTTGTCTAGTGCCAGATTTCAAGGGGAATGCTTCCAGTTTTTGCCCATTCAGTATGATATTGGCTGTTGGTTTGTTTTAAATAGCTTTTATTATTTTGAGATACGTTCTGTCAATACCTAGTTTATTGAGGGATTTTAGCATAAAGGGCTGCTGAATTTTGTCAAAGGCCTTCTCTGCATCAATTGAGATAATCATGTGGTTTTTGTCTCTGGTTCTGTTTATGTGGTGAATTACATTTATAGACTTGCATATGTTGAACCAGCCTGCATCCCTGGGATGAAGCCTACTTGATCATGGTGGATAAGCTTTTTGATGTGCTGTTGCAATAGGCTTGCCAGTATTTTTTTGAAGATTTTTGCATCTATGTTCATCACAGATATTGGCCTGAAGTTTTCTTTTCTTGTTGCGTTTCTACCGGGCTTTGGTATCAGGATGATGCTTGTCTCATAAAATGATTTGGGAAGGATTCCCTCTTTTTGGGTTATTTGGAATAGTTTCAGAAGGAATGGTACCAGCTCCTCTTTGTATGTCTGGTAGAATTCGTCTGTGAACCCATCTGTACCTGGGCTTTTTTTGGGTGGTAGGCTCTTAATTGCTGCCTCAACTTCAGACCTTGTTATTGGTCTATTCAGGGTTTTGACTTCTTCCTGGTTTAGGCTTGGTAGGAGGCAAGTGTCCAGGAATTTATCCATTTCTTCCAGGTTTACTAGTTTATGTGCATAGAATTGTTTGTAATAATCTCTGATGATGGTTTGAATTTCTGTGGAATCTGTGTGATATCTCCTTTATGGTTTTTTATTGCATCAGTTTGGTTATTCTCTCTTTTCTTTTTATTAATCTGGCTAGTGGTCTGTCTATTTTGTTGATCTTTTCGAAAAACCAGCTCCTGGATTTATTGATTTTTTGAAGGGTTTTTTGTTTCTCTATCTCCTTCAGTTCTGCTCTGATCTTAGCTATTTCTTGTCTTCTGCTAGGTTTTGAGTTTTTTTGATCTTGCTGCTCTAGCTCTTTCAATTTTGATGCTAGGGTTTCAATTTTAGATCTCTCCTTGCTTCTCATGTGGGCACTTATTGCTATATATTTTCCTCTAGAGACTGCTTTAAATGTGTCCCTGAGATTCTGGTATGTTGTGCCTTTGTTCTCGTTGGTTTCGAAGAACATCT